TTGTGAGTCTGCCTTGGTCAGCAAGCACTTGTTATTAGCAGTCTCTGTCTAAGGAGAACATCTAGGAAAGTAATACAGCCCTTCCAATTCCTTACCAATCCCATTCACCTCTCCATTGAAGAGGTCCTGAAAAACACAGAACTCAGGAAAGAAATGAACAGAACATTTCAATTGTCTAGTCAACTGAGATACTGACAACAAATTATACTTAACTTCAGGAACAACCAGAACATTTTTTAATACACCTCCAGCAGGTATGATGCAACTACCTGAATGAGTAACCACTGTAGTGTGGCCATTGGGAAAATAAACTCTCCTTCTTGTGGCTTTGTTATGATCACTAATATTATCCAAATTTTCAGACTTAGGAGTCATGTGACATGTTGCCCCAGTGTCTACAATCCAATGACCTTGTTTGCTAGACCTTACATACTTCTTATTAACATTCAAAACAACATCATAACTACTCTTTCTGTGAGAATCTAAGAGGGCATTAAGATCATTGAAATTACCTGCCATGTTGACTATCTCTTCAGTTTTCTCTTCTTCATCAAGGAACCTTAATATTTTCTGATACTGCTCTGGAGTATATGTTGACTTCATAGCAAGTGCCTGCAAATTAGTTCTAACAGAATTGAACTCATGTGCATTAGCATTAGCTTTGTGTCCTTCATCAACTGACCCAAAAGCATCTTCATTGCATTTGTCAATTTGCACATTATTTGCTAGATCTTTTTCCTTGTTCGAGTTCATTCCTCTTGCTGCATTGGAGGATCTATAATCACCAGCATGATCATACTTCTTTTTAAACTTCCAATCCTCAGGATATCCCACAAGTTTATAACAGATGTTTTTAGTGTGCCCATGCATTTTGCAATGGTCACAAAACAGATTTCATTTCACTTTCTTCTTGCCATTATAGCTTCCTCTTCCAGCATACTCAGCCCTATCTCCATGATCTGTATTTCTATTTCCATAACTCATCTTGCCTGCATACAATGATGTGGCCTCGAGTATATCTCCTCTTGTGCGCATTCCTGATGTAATTCTCTGACTCTCATCTGAAACTATCATCGCATATGTTTTGCCAACATTAGGCAAAAGGTTCATCATCAAGATTTGGCTTCTTGCAGGACCATACAACTCATTCAACCCCATTAAGAAAGCAAATAGTCGCAGATATTGTATGTGATCTACATATATTCTAGATCTATCACAATTACAAGAAGGAGGGAGCACAAATGCATCAAATTCATCCCAAAGCAACCGTAACTTGGTAAAATAAGTTGAAACAGTTAGGTTACCTTGATGAATTGTGCAAATATCCCTGTGTAGTTGATAGATCCTCGATCCATCTACCTTATCAAATCGTTCCTTCAAGTCTTCCCATACTGTTGCAGCATCTGAAGCATACACTATCCCACTTAGCAGCTCCTTCGAAACAGTATTCATGATCCATGCCAACACAAATGCGTTGCACTTTTCCCATTGTTCATCTAATTCAGGTGTGTAATCACCCTTCTTACACGTCCCAAGCACAAAACCAAGCTTACTCTTAGCTCGAAGATTGATCATCATTGATCGACTCCACAACGAGTAATTTTCTGATCCAGTAAGTTGGATTGTAGTTAGTACAGATCCAGGGGTGACTGATGGATGGAGATAAAGAGGATGATTCCTCTTTGATTCGATCAATTCCATCGTTTCTGATGCAGCAACAGAAGAAGTAGAAGTCGTTGTTGTATCACCTCCAATCGCCATTGCAAATCACAAAAGCTCTGTTTTCCAGAATCAAATCTACAAGTTGAATCAAAGAATTATTGACTCAATGCTCTGATACCATGATGAAATTCAGAGGGATTTGGGAATTTTCTTTATGTTGATTATTCAAGAGATACATCTCATACAATGATGATTAGACCTCTACTTATACACATGGCAGTAACTGCCTTCTAATATCTTCTAACTACCTTCCTAACAATATTAACAAACTAACTAATTATATTCTTATCACATTTAATTAATTACTTAACAAACTTCTTCTATGCTATCTTCAATACTGCAGATTCTCAAAAACTATTAAATGGCGTGAATTGCTCCATTGATTAAGCATTTCAGTTATAGTCAATTAACCACATTAAGCACTTCAGTTACAATCAATTAATATCACACGCTTTTCATGCATCTCGCTAAAAATGTATCAGATACAACAGCTAGATACATGTATCTACAACCTAATCATCGATAAAAAATGTAATATTGAAAATTAGAATGTATCTAAGTAATTAGATACCAAATTAGTGGAATTTATGTAAGTTGTACTTAAATATATAAGAAATACTCATTGAAAATTCATTAATGAAATGTTCTCTTGATCTAGCAATAGAAATGAAACGTGTTACCAGGGGCGTACACACATGTACGCCTGTCCAATTGGACACCCTTCGTCGGAATTTTTTTTTGTATATACACGTAAAATGATATACAAAGTGATTAAATCACATATTTTGGACACCCTTGACATAATATATTGTTATAACCTAGTGGTTTTAGATGTCTTAAATGTGTGTTTAGACATCTTTAATGAGCCCGTGCTCGCGTTTTCAAATCTCACTTGCAACAATTTTTTCCCTTTTCAAAAAGAGCTTTTGTTGTTTAATTTTGGACCCTCTTCGTGAAATTTCAGGCTCCGCCACTGCTTGTTACCATTCTTGATGAGAGTTTGATTCTTATTGACCACATATAATTTAAAATCATTGATAACCCATAAATTAAATTTGAATGGTTGAAACCTCCTATGCAGTGGACCAGTGGATGATCTACTTAAGAAGTCATAAAGTGAAGCCATAGGCAGGTCCAAGAAGCTAGCTTTGTTGTCCCACACAACTTCTTTTTAAGGTTTGCTAAAGTGACGGATTCTGAGGTCCCTAATTTTTTGCCTTAAAGCCTATCCATCGCCATTTTTTTCTTCTTCCATCTTTTTTCTCCAATCAACAATAGTTCAATACAACTACTTGTCCTTTCCCTTAATATTCACCCACCTATCAAATAGGAGTGGACACGATAGGGTAGATATTGAATTATGAACACCATATTGAAATTGAATTTTTTAATATTGTGGTGTCTAATATGATATTTAGTATTTACTATGAATTATTAAAAATTTGATATTCGATATAGTATTTTGTATTTATAAATATATGTCGAAATACGAATAGCATATCGATGTATATAGTTACATATTTATATAAAATCCATATACATGTGTAGCTATATAATACTACAAATAAATAGAACAGTAACTAATTATTATGACGTTGAAATTTTGATGATTTTCTCTTGATTTAAATGTTCTTTTGGGTGGATTGATTAACAAAGAAAAATTGTTAGTACGCTATTTTGAATATTTTTACATGTGTAAGGTATTAATATGATATAATTGAGACATTTTTAGAAAAGTAAAAGTCCTAATTTTTTGTTGTACAAATATATGTAAGTTGAAGTTGACCAAACTATGATAACCGAATCGTATCGCAAAATACCAAAATCAAATTTTAAGATGCCAAACCATACCAAATTAATTTGATATAGTAATAATATAATATTTTAAAAATTATAAATCAGAATTATCAAATCGAACTTTTTAATACCATACCATTATAAATCAAAATTATGTCTATAAAAAAAATCAATAAACACCTATAAATATGTTATTTTAAATTCAGCTGTAATTATATTCTATGATATATATATATATTATAAAATCGTAACTAACAAGCTTCAAATTTTGAATGTGAACATATTATTATTAGTGAATATATAGGGACAAATATTTCAGTCATATTGAACTGTTTAAGATTAAAATAGGTCTCACCCGTTTCCTATCCAAAATAAAGAAAATATTTTTCTATACTGATGTACAATATAAAATACACTTATACTATCCTATCAATTAATCAAAAGATAAGTTGTATGAAATCTGTTAGATATATAAATTAGACAACTAATAATACATTAAAAGATATTTCCACCATGACCCACTTGAGAGAAATGTTACTCTCTCGTTCAAACAAAATGAACCTTTTCTTTTGCTAATAGTTTTGTTCGTGACATATTTAAGACTATAAAATTAAAATATATTTTGATATATACGATAGCACAATTTAAATTTAGAACCACAAAATTAATTATTTTTTTCTTAAACTCTATGCCAAGTTAAATTAGTTCTTTATTTTGTAAAGAGAGGGTATATATTTTGCACTTGTGTGAAGTGTAGTTATTTTATCCAAAAATACAAATTGTCAGAAATAGTATATACTTCCTCCGTTTCAAAATGAGTGACCTGGTTTGACTTGACACGGAGTTTTAAAGACTTTTAAATCTTGTGATCCTAAATTAAAGTTATGTCAAATGTACTAAATTGTCCTTCAATCTTGTGGCTTTAAACATGCCACGTGAAAAACTGAAATTAAAATGTTACTTAAAAAAAAAGATCATTCTTAAACAAACTAAAAGAAAAAAAAAGTCATTCTTTTTTAAACGGAGGAAGTACTTATTTAATTATATTCATGTTTTTGTTCGAAAATATTTGAAATGTTGTTCAAAAACTTTTACCACTTTTTTCAAAATAAATGCATGATGTCCCTACTGACAACATGCTCTTCATATTTCTTTATTTCTCCGAGACAGCACTGGCACTTCTCCCTAACTTGAGATATTTTATTTAAGATATAACTAGGGCAAAATATCTTCAAATGTGCACCACTTTTTCATATTCAAAACAATTCATAGTGCTTTTATTTTAGTATACACAAGTTTGAATTTCAATAACTTTTAGGTGTGTCCGATTGAATTTTCACTACTCCCCATAGTTAAGACAGCACTAGTTAGAAAAGAAAATAAGTTATCCATATAATACTAACAAGCTCAACATGAACCAAAACTCTTAACCAAACAAATTAAAATATAAAACAGACCCCTACACACATTAATCAAGCAGCAAATGAAAATTTTACTGATCAAGTGCATTAGGCCCAGTACAATAATTCACAACATGATTCCACACCCACTGAACCAAAAACTTTCTTCTTATCCCATTCATATTGTACGTTGCACCATCTTCACCGTTCAACATTTGCCCCGTATACGACCCGCCACCACCCGACCCATATATCCCTTCACAAAGATCCGCTATCTCCACCGGAAAACTTGGATCTTCACCTGCATACCAAGCATTCACCAATGGATTCGTAGATAACTCAGCAATTTCATGAGCAATCACACTAATCATTCCGTCAACACCAACATCATTATTCGGCGATTTCACAGCTTTGAAACCCCGACCCATGTAATCGGGTACGGAAAATGGGTATGCACAAACACCTGGACATAGTTTGCCGGAGTTACCTACCCATGCGTATGGTAAAGTGTAACCCACAATTGAAGGGAAAGTGAAATAGTGAAATCCACAAACATCTTGGCAGAAATTTTCAACATAAACATCATCAGATGTGAGTAGTAAATACACACCGCTTTTGGAATTTATCGGTAGAGGGAGAGTGGTACTGGCTGCAGTGACGGCAAATTTTATCACAGACTGAATTGATAAACGGGTTAACGATTTACCATGAGAGTAAAGCCGGTCGTTTTTTTCAGCTCCTATGCGTACATTACCGGAGATGTTGGCTCCGGTTTGGTCGGTGTAACGTTGGACTGTTTTCCACCAACCGGAAACTGACGGCGGCTTGGAATCGACGGCGGAGATTGAGTTGATGAACTCCCGGATAATTCTTTTCTGAGATTTGCCCCATTGGCCGTACCAAATGGGGTAAACGGTGATGTTGGCAGTGAGAACAGGACCCATGTGGTATTTTAACTGGATTAAGTCCGATGAGCCTTCATACTTTTTGGATGGGCTGTACAATAAATCGGTGGTGTTGGGCTTTTGGTTGGCCCATGGACGCCACCCATTAACTGGGGAAGTTACTAAGAGTAGGAAAATTCCGGTGAGATGATAGAAAGTCGCCGGAAAATATGATCGGTGACACTGGTCCATGGTCATGTGGAGTCGTAGTTGGTGTTATGACAGTAAGAGTGGAGTGAACACTGAAGGGTGTATTTATTTGCATGAAAGGAGTGAATAAATACTTACATTAGTACTTATTTTTTTCGTTTTGCGTTTGATATTTATATTGAAATTCGAATAACTCAAAAATCATTTTAAAAGGAAATGATACTTAAAAACACAATTCATAGTCAAAATTTTGAATTCAAACTCTTTAATTAAAAAGAGATTATATATATTTCACGGTGATTTTCTATTTTTATTTCAATATTTTATTGTATTGTATCACATTCTATTATGCGAGTTTAGATATTGGTGCTAACTGCTAACTTGTTGTAGGGTGATAATGGAAAACAGGTGTTTTCTTTAAAATGTAGTTGGAGAAGTGGGGTAGGCCTGCCTAAGAAAGGGATGGGAGCCAGAATCAGTGACTGATCTTATGATTAATAATGGAGCCAGAAATTTAACGAAAGACGTTTAACTTCTATACATTATATAATTTTTGATAAAAAATATGCACCAAACTATTTTAACCTGAGATGACTGCTGGTAATTTGAACTGATCATGTCCGATGAGTCATTAACCTTGGTCTGTGTTGCCATAGCTATAGCCTATATGTTTTTAAAATTTCGTTTTAGTCCGATGAATTTTGGTTAAAAGTAAAAGTTCAATTTAGAAAAATCAAGAATGAATTGATTTCTACTTTTTTTTCCCTTCAAATCTATGCTTGCTTTAACTAATAAATCAATTTAACCTTTTAATAAGTTTTAATGAAGTTTATTCATACTAAAGAGAGATAAAACAATAATTTAATCAAATAGTTCTTGTGATTTCAATAAGGGATACCGGATATTAGCACTACTTAGATCTATCTTTAGCTATGTTTTTCTTTATTGCAAGTTTTCGAGTGGTTCAAAACTTATTCATGTTAAAAAGAAATAAAATAATAATTTCGTCAAATAGCTCTTGTGATTATAATGAGGGATAACGAATCCATTTATTTGGGCAAGTCATAACTTGTTAATTTATTAACTCAATCCAAGTTGATGGACATATAACTTATATTAATTTAACCTAATATTTCCTGTTCAAATTCAATCCAAACTCTCGTTACAGTTTTTCAAATGAGATGATGAACATGCGATTTTGAAAAATGAAATTCCAAGTACTAAAACTTTTTTGATTCCAGCGTAAATCTTCTTTTGTTGATTTCTCCAAGTATTTTTCGAGAAAAACAATCCCCAAGATTACAACTTTGTAACATACTCCTCTTTTTCTCATTTTTTTTTAAATGAAGAAAACATCAAATTTAAAGTATAAAATCAAGAGTCTATTTTCTCTCATAAAAAAATTAACACCAAAAGAGTATAGCTTTAAAATGCTTTATCGGCATTCAAGTCTCAAGGAACAATATACATCGAAGCAATGCATGATAAAATTTCCCAGATTAAAGAGTTATATTCTATGTATTTTTAGTTTTAAGTTAACAAGAGTAAAAAAATTCTTTATTTTTTTAAATTTCATGTCAAGTTAAAATCAGACATAAAAATTAAAACGAATGCAACAATAATTCATGTTCAATTAAGAATAACTGACATATCAACAAATTCATCAGTCTATTTCATTAAATTATACAAGTAATTAATTAACGAACCTTCTACTACATGTAATGTACACGAATGTACAATTACTCAAATCAAATATGAAATCTTTACATATCACCGTAAGATCATTTTCATTAAATATTTTGTTGGTAAGGTCAATTCAAAGATAATTTGTTTATATTGGGGCTTTAATATATTATATGTTTGTATAGTACATGATGACTTGTTAAATTTGGTAACAAAAAATATATATAGCTAACCTTAGTGATAATCCAAAAAAAATCTGGTGTTAGTTAGACAGTTCACTCCGTACTCTTACCACATTTCACTAAGGTCAGAAATTGATATGATTTTCTTCTAGTACTATACGTTACCATGTTCTTTCCACTACCTTAAACAAACATGCCCTACCATTGGTACGTAACTCAGATTGCAAATCAATATACTGTATGCTTTTAACACGCCTAACGTTCAACGCTCGAAGCTTACCTAAAAGTTCTTACTATCTTATTATATTATAAATTTAAAGATTAAAAATCGATAAGGGCATATATAGTATTGATTTTTAAAACACCGGTACAGATAGACATTAAAATTAGAAGAAAAAAGTTGCTATGTTTCAATTTCACTGCCTACTTTGTACTATATTGTGAGCAGGGACCAATATGCAACTTGTACAAAAGCATTATACATTTGACATATTATGCAGTTGGAACTGTCACTCATGGTGGTCCAACTCTAAACACAAATTCCCTCCCTCCCCATTTACGCCCTGTTCATTTTATACATACTTCATTTAAGAAAAAAAATGGAAGTTTAAGTAGTATTATTTAAAGTTAAATTATATAAATACTAAAAAAGTGGTGCCAAACTTTTTTAGATTACGAAAGAAAAATATGTGATATAAAATGACAATGGAATAATAAATTAAAAGGCATGGGAAACAACAGAAAACATAGACGTAGCATTGATTAAAGCTAAACTCTTTCTAATTATTAAAATGTCATTTAAAAAAAAAAATGAAAAGTGGAATAATAAGGTAAAGACTTGGGAAGGGTAGACGTTGTCGAAATAATTTGCATAAATTAAAACAATACTTTATTAACTTAAGAAGTAGTGTTGTCAAAAAAGCTCAATTTAGTCTCATCCAATTCAAGTTGCGCAGATTAAGAAATTTAATGGGATAAGATGGATCGATCCTTCATTTGAAAGGGTTTGAAATGGCCAATTCAACTTAACTCTAGAACATACTAGAAGGGTCGTGGGCTGAATTGAGCTACCCCTCTTAAAAAAAAAAATTAAATTCAAATTTAAAATTTTGTAATATATATATATATATATATATATATATATATATATATATATATATATATAACATAGATTATACAAAAGGTTAGTGGTGCTTCAAATTATAATTTCATAGATGAAAGATATAACATCAAGAAAATGAAAAGATTTTCATATTAAATGTGGCAAACAAGTAATTTTAATAAGTTCAGATAAAATTTAGCAAAAAAACAAATTTGTATAAAACAATTATAGATTAAAGATTTACTTGTTTTAAGTCAAATTAAGTACTCCCTCTGTCTCAATTTACGTGACATATTTCGGATTTTGAGATTCAAACAAATCTATCTTTGACCGTAAATTTTTCCTATATCTTTTAAACATTTTGAATTATCAATTATTGAGACTTATAGTACTTTTTATGTAGTTTACAAATATATAAATTTCATTTTTAAAAAATTGAAAATTTCATGAGCAAATTTTCGGTCAAACTTAAACTGTTTGACTCTCAAAAAGCGAAATGTGTCACATAAATTGGGACAGAGGGAGTAATATCTTTGGCCCATGGGCCAATCGCCACCTCGATCCAACTTCGATCAAGCCTCAAGACCCAATGACTTACTTACACTGAATTTATAAGCCCCAATTATAAATAGATTTGAAAAATCTTACCCCAATTCTACTTTAATTGCGGGTTAAAGTGAACCAAATCTATTTTGACGGCTCTATTACGAAGTTACAAATTCATATGAAAAGATATATTAGTTAAGTAATAAAAATTTACTTAGAAAAACACATTGTCTTCAGAAGAACAGGGTGAAAGGTAGTTAATCATTGGCGTTAATCACGGCTTGAATTGTGCCGGACCTGGTGATTTTTGTGATTTCTTTAGCAATTTAAGCAGAAAAAGGGAATCTCATATGGATGTGAATGATTAAAGAGGGCAAAAACAGGATAAACAAGTAAAATAATGTTCTCAGTTCTCACTGTTCAACATTATATGTTACTATTGGTATTGGATTAATAAGTGAGTGAAATCTCTAAATTGGAAAGTTAAGGAATATATAAGTTTTTTTTTTCTAATTTAAATAAATTCAGATTGAATTGAATTTTTAGTTTCAATTTCCAATTAATTGGCTTGGATATTTTTGTTAGGGTTTTGCCCTGATTTTCTAACCATAATTTAAGATTTATTTTTCCTTAAAAGAAAAAACAAAACATTACCATAAATGTTTTTACTTTTCTTGAAAGGAATATATAATATTCTTTCATATTTGGTTTATTCTCTCATTTTAGGACTCTTTTTCTAGTAAGAAAAGGTTTTAGAACTCTATAAATATAGGTTTTGTTTCTTCTAACATAAAAACAATAGAATCCACAATGTAGTCGTTTGAGACTTTTGTTTATGGGGAGATTTATTCTCTCAACAGTTATAATATTTTTCTTTTAAATTAGTTTTCATATTAATAATATTATGTTTTAGTATCGCTTTATTTGTCATCTAATTTATCACCGTCTTGATTGCAATTGTAAGCTTCCGCATGACGCCCTAATCACCCCTTCAGAACCCAACAAGTGGTATCAGAGTACATGGTTCAAAGATCCGGTAGTCCTATGGTTCAACGAGGTTGAAGACAGGCTCAAGATGGTTTCAAATCAATTTGTAATCAATTTGATGATAATGAAGACTTTTTGTCAAGCTACATGTGGAGAAGAAGTTTCAACCATATTTTTTAAGAATAAAAACAAAATATTTTTAACCCATTTTTAACCCATATATTTTAAACTTTATTTTTAACCATGGCAAGCAACAGTGATTGAGATTTTGTGAGGAACAAGATTATCATGCAATGAAGAAGACAGATCAAGCTTTGTCAAGAAAATCCAGCCAAAAGGGGAGATTTGTTAGGGTTTTGCCCTGATTTTCTTACCATAATTTAAGATTTATTTTTCCTTAAAAGAAAAGACAAAACATTACCATAAATGTTTTTACTTTTCTTGAAAGGAAAATATAATATTCTTTCATATTTGGTTTATTCTCTCATTTTAGGACTCTTTTTCTAATAAGAAAAGGTTTTAGAACTCTATAAATATAGGTTTTGTTTCTTCTAACATAAAAACAATAGAATCCACAATGTAGT